TTCTAACCAACCGTGCGTTTCCAGGCTTAAACTGCCAAGGGGTCCTGTGGCGGCTCACCGCCACACCGCTGCACTGACGCGGTATAATACATCGCGGCGCCGCTACGCGCCGCAGGCCTTCTACCAGTTACAAGCTTGGCGGACCCACCGCCAGGTTGCGCAGGCGGTGACGAAGTTATACGAGATCAAGCTTCGATCGACGAGATATAAAAGAGCTGCTCCGCAGATCTTTCCTCACTCACTCGCTTCAAGGCGAGCTCTCCCCAGGGCCCTTGAACTGAGTCATATTCTTGCCTCGGCAGGAGATAAACCAGAGACACATAGTCTCGCCGTTTTTCTCACACTGCCTCGCTAAGGCGTGTAAGAAGAAAGCAGAGTCCCAGCATCGGCCACGCACTTCAACCAAAGCGGCCCGCGGATACTCCACTTTCGCCGTCACCTCCTCAGTCTCTAGTGTGGAAATTAATCCCATTAGAGTTCTGCGTCCGGTTGACTCGACCACCAAGGGACACGCTCACTCAAGGCGACATCCGAATTCGGAGACCTCTCTCTCCTCGGTACACGGAGCAATCCGTAATTCCGAGAGCCGAGACGATTGCCACCACCAGCACACCAGAGACTAGATCCATCGCAGTACAGACTTCACCGCTCAGAGCCTGCTCAGAGAGCAGTTGTCAGACGGAAGACCACTTCCCTAACGGCGTTCCACCGACGCCGGGAAAGGGGCTGCAACGAGCTAACTCAGTTGAACCGTCCTTTTTAGGACCCGTTCAACACACTAAGACGCGGCCGGTAATTTCTTACCGCGCCCGTCAATTTTTCTTTTAATTCTCGGCCTTACACTCTTGCCGAGAAAGCGCCTCTGGCGCCCTGAATCAAATCAAACATAAAACTTGTACTTTACTCTACTTCTCTGACGAAGAAAAATAAATTACATTTTTCTAAGAAATTGGTCTCAATCTTTCAACCAAGTCGAACACGATCCTTAGGCATTACGCCTATATTATTAATATTATAAACATTATAATATATTATTATATATTATAATACATATTATGAATTTAACTATGATAACTCTTCCTGAAAATTTCTTTCTTTTTCTACTAAAAATATTTTTATTTTATTAGAAAAGATTGAAAAAACGTGGTAAATAATGATAAAGAAAAATTGAACAAGTTTTTTTTTAATATTACTAATTGGAAGAAAATAAAATATATTTTAAATATCGATATTTATTTGTATCTCATAGTATAATATAATAGCAAAGACCATCTTATATAATGTGTTTCGCACTTTTCATGTAACACATTCAGAGAATTACACGTTTCTAGAACACCTGGCTTGTAAATGATTAACTGTCTGTAGATATTATGAGAGAGAGATATGATCATGGGAAATCAAATTAATTTTCCAGAGAATGGAATTTCTCTCAACAATATACACAGAAAGAGAGAAGGAAAAAGAGAGGGAAAAAGAGAGTGAGAGAGACTGTGTTTTCAAAAGTCAGAATTGTTATGCGTAATTCAAACGCGAAATGGCAATAATAATTGCTGATGCATAACATTATGCGTCCATTGTATCGCATTCTATGAAAATTCAAAATTCGGTCGTGATACAAACACTTGTCATTTAATCTTTTAAAAGAAAATTATTATCGCGCTTTGTAATTAAAATTATGTGAACATAATTTTGCCAGAATTAAAATCATTTTGCTTGCGTATGCGCAAAACTCGCGAGCCGCGAAATTCGCTTCTACAGTTGGAAACGTGTTATTTTTCTGCGAGTTAAAAACAAATTTGGTTTATAATTAATTGAAATATATATTACAGTTATATATGTGCAATTTTATCCAATGCACAAAATTGACGTATTTGCTGCGACAAAAATCGGCTATATTCGCGGATAGTTTTATGCATCAATGAGCATAAAAAACCGCGAATTATCTCGGCACCATCGTAGATAAATCGGAAATGGAAATGCATTCGATTCAACAACAATAGAGTGCAGGAGAGATTGTAACGCACGAAGAATGAATTGCGCAACGTAACATTCGCGAATGAATGAAAATCATCCTGATGCATTTTGCACAACATAGCATATAAGTGTGAGTGCGCATCGACAGCTCTCGTTAGTTATTCTTTCTGTCCATATGTTATGTTTAAGAACAATTGATATTTATATCAATTGTGATAAAAGATGAGGTTATGACTTGAATGTAACAAAAATATTAACAACAGCAGTATTTTTGCTCAAATTTTCGACGCTTCCACATTTTAGACAATTATTAAACATCACTGGATGAAAGTATTGCAAATAAAGATAAAGACGATCAATAAATTTTGAAATAAGTATTAAAGTATTTTGAAATTATTGTTATTTAAAAAAAAATCAATTCTAGATTGCGGGAAAAAAAACGTGGATGTAAGGAAGAATGCGTGACGAGAGAGATACAGTCTGAGCGGTCACGACGACGTTTGAATTCGTGCTGCGTTTTTCAATACGGCGCATTTAGAGGCGACCGGTTATTGTTTCCCAGCTGCCACTCGGCGCGGTTCGAACTTTGCTCTTATCGCAGTAATAGGGTTTCGGCGTGACGCTGAATTTTCATGAAACTGCCGCGGAGCGTGTCCGGGCTGGAATAAAGCGCGCGATGCCGGCTTTTTCGAATGAAACGAGAATAAATTTTCGCGTTAGCGCGCGCACCGCGTCCAGGATGTAGAGAGCCGCGCCTCTAGCGCAATATGCAGACGCTTCCTCCGAATATGAAACCACTGAGCCGGCAAAACGGTCGATTGGACAAAAACGAATTCGCCGCGTTTCAACCGAGATATATGCTACGGCAGTTCAAGTCGTCCTTTGCGAATTAATTGGAGTTTGCGCGTGAGAACGTGAAATCGTATACGTGTATGCCTTTTTGGCGAAGAGAGAATCTGCGCACATCTGCCAAAACGCGAATGGCAAAATGTATTGCCAAAATGCGGGGATTGTTTTAAAATCAAACTAGCGCTTTATGGATAAATTAAAAAATAAGTCATTATGTGTGCATATTCGTATAAAATATTAACATCTGTGTAATAATAATTATGTAATCTACGAATATTTTCACATGTAAAACTTTTGTTGCATTTGACCACATAATGAGGAATATACATAATAATACATGGATACTGAAATAAAACACATAATAATTTATGAGAAAAATATCATTGATCGCGCTGGTTATAAAAAGAGGTCAATCTGCGGTTTTATCTGAGAGTATAATGTTGGCGCGGGATAATCAATCTATGAAAATCTCACATCGAATAATTATCCGCTCGCGTGTTGCGGATATCGATTCTTTTGAATTTCAATTAACCGCACAGACGAGGAGAACCCTCTCACGAATCAACATTCTGCGGTCGATGATTGACGAAATGAAAATATAATTGCGAGTCCTTTATGATAAAGGGCGCTGTGCAAAAGAATTGGTCCCTGTGATCGTCACCGTGATCATCGGTAAATCGACAAATCAAGACTACTCCAAGTTCTCAAAAGGAGATACAGAAGAATGAGAAAACAAAAGCTCCTCGCTAAAACGAGTGCCGAGCACCTCTTTATAATGAAATCTGCCAAAGTTTCACCGGTGGAAATACAGCTTCCCATTCAATCAGATGATGCACATTTAACTTTGAGAGTTTTGAGGATCACAGAGTCTGATTTGGCCATTAGATAGAGAAAACGGGTGACATGAGTGGAATATAATCATGTAACAAAGAAATGATAGGGGCATGGAAATGTAAAAGTGCATACGCAGCGACCGCGAAGATGAAGATTATGCATCAATTATTATTAAATTATAATTCTATATTGTAATTCTTCAATTACTCTCAATTTGAAAAGTATATTTTATTATTAAAACAGTTTAATGTTTCTCAATTAAACTTCTACCACGGTCATAAAAGTCAATTTGCGCGACTTTGCGGGGAAAAGAAAATAATTAAATATAAGTAGGAAAGAAGAGCGGTAAAAAAAGGAAATAAAAAGACTCCATATTGATTGACAGGGCGATAAAAGGGGCGGAGGGTGGAAGGCGCACATGCGGCCTAATGAGTATGCACGCGTGTGGGAGACGTGACTCAGTCCTAGGGGACTGCGTTAATTCCAGGAGACCTGATTAATCGGAAACAGGACTATCGTGCAAATAGGCGCAAGATAACCTGGTCGCGCCACTCCGCATCCCGCCTATCCACCGCCTTGTCCTCCCTTGCGCTCCATAATGCATCCTGATGGTGAGCGCTTCGATCGGCCCCATTCCTACGGATACGGAGTTAAGTCCATGGGGCATGTGAGAGCAGCGGCGTAGTAGGATCCCATCGATTTAATTACAATCGATCCGTCAAGCCTGTGAGAGATAGTCCTTCGTGCCGGTGGTGGCACGAAACAGCCGAGAGCGGCCGCATCGTCGCGGCTTGCCCTAAATCTCGAAAATGCATGCCTCGCGATCGTCGCATCCGATCGTTGCGCCGGGTTCGCGTGCCAACTTTGTTGATAGAACGTGACGATAATTGTTCAATTTATCCGAGATGATAACGGGATATTTACTTGAATAATTTTGACGCGAACTTTGAAGGATACTGAGAAATTATCCTCTATTTTTACGAATTGAAAGAAAATATTTGTAATTTATGCGCGTAATAAAATAATATTTGTGATGGTTTTATGAAAGGAAAATTTATCATATATCTGCAAAGTAAAAAAGCGTGTAATATATTTGAACTAATGGATCATGCTATCGCGATCACATCTATTCGAAACAAGAAATACGCGGAACGAATCTGTGACATAATCGCATGATAGATTTTCCTCGCTAGTGTATAATGTTCAGAAGTGCATAATACCTCGTTTACGTTTACAATGATGAATTGCGTAACAGCGGTCGCGTACCGCGCTGCATTACTCTCGGAAAGTTATGGATGACCGAGTTACATCGCTCGACTGCATCGCGCAAATGCGTCACAACGTCACCGTTGCATCGATGTCAACGGAAGATTTCTCGATGCATCAAGTACAAATCTATCGCGTCGCTCTAATTGCGTTCGATCGAGAAAACAGGATATCGCGCGCGCCCCTGTCCTTGGAAAACTTCCGACTCTACTTCATTCCGACGCGCGGCAAAGAAAAAAGCACGGATACAAAGCCGGCTATTAAATTGCAAAATAACTCGCCACATCGCCGAGACAATAAAAAAAAAAAGGGAGAATGAGAAAGAGGGAAAGAGAAAAACTACGCATACTGGACAGTTTAAAGGCGATAGCACGATTGCTCGCGCGCAGCGCAGCTCCATCGTTCATTGAACAGCAACTTTATCGATATCAGTTTTCAGTCTCTTTTTGCGTGCCATATCTATCCGAGTGAAATTGCGCGAACATTTTGTATTTTATCCCAAGCATCGCGTGGAATTCCATGAAGGGAATATTTATCGCGTCTCTGCGCGAAAGAGAGAAAATTCTTTTATCAATTGGCGACGATCCATATTGCGCGCGCTTAGCGCGTTTTATTGCGCTCCCAGCTGTCGGGGTTTCGAAGATGAAGAAGTGTAAAATTTCAAAAATCATCATCTCCTTGGACGACAACGTCAACGGCTTTATTGGACGATAGAAAAAGGTACCTTTGTGCTGTTTTATCTCGCTCGGTTACTCGCCGAGTGACGCACATTTATATAAAGTGCGACGCGACTTTGTTTCACGCGTCTCTTACTACTACTACTTCCAGCACTTCAATGCAATTTGAAAACTGTCGCCCGTCGCGATTCAAAGCCCGACTTTTACTTATTACATGACTCACTTTGCGAGATTATATTTTGCACCTGCCTTTTCCAGGAAAATTGTGTATAGAGAAAATCTATCGGGATAATACAAATGATTACTGAATCGAAATTTATTCGAGTTTACGAATGCGAATAATTTTATCGGTGGACGCTTTTCCATGTAGAAACGCTCGGTCAAATAAATTAATCAGTCTGAAAATATTATATAAGTACAAAAATTAAAATTACCCGAAATATAATATGCAAATATTTTATAAAGGTATAGTTTTACTTCACTATTCAATATTTTATAAATAATTTATTATCACTATATACTTACTTTTGTATCTATTTCAAGCTGAATTAATTTAGTTTTTATGGTTGATACACATATTTCCTTGCATTTCTTTCTCACTTTTTTATTTTTACTCATATATTGATTTTTAACTTTTTACATTTATGTTTATGTTATCTTTTTTCATAACAGTAGTGCGTTCTTTGATGTAGCATTTTGGTTTTACCGCGCTGCACTATTCCGTGTTATTCATCCATTCGGGATAAAGTCTTGCGTGGTAGGTAACGAAAAAAATATCGCGCTACGTTTGTTTTTATATCGCGCGAGTGTAGCGTGTGTAATAGCGGTGGCCACATTTTGCAAATAGGCGGCAGCATAATATCACACGTAAATAAAAAACAACATCTTTAACTTGTGCCGCATTAAATTTGCAGCGATAAGAACGGAAAAAGAAAAAAAAAGAAGAATTGCAGCCAAGAAATTTTCTCCTGCGCATAGCGCGGTCGCTCTTTTAATTATATTCGGCGTAATTAACGACGCGCTGCAACGCATAATGAACTATATATTCGCGGCACGGACAGTCGCGAATGCACATTCACGCCCGGTCGGCTTTCCGTTCTCTCCGTTATATATTTTATCCGGCGATTGAAAATAATTTATAATTATGGCCGTGGCGCACACGGTGCAAATGCCAATTAACGTGCGAAACGAAATGCGAATACACTTTACGCGCATGCCTACAGAACGTCCATCAGCGAGTTTTGTCTATCGACGCGTTTCACAAATAATGCACTCTTGCCAATAATAATTTTAGTTCGCATATAATATATAATATTTATCAATCTGTGTGTAATATACATTGCACCCGATTACGACCGATAATTTAATCATATAAACGTTTTTGAATTTGTTGGGAAGTTTTTTATTTATTATAGAGAATCAAATTGTAGAACTATATTAAACTTACTAAATTAAATTATATATAATTAGAAAACGTGTAGCTTTGGGACAATTTTATTTCTTGCTGACACAATGATGCAAGTGCATTTTTTTGGATGTTGATTTCATTATCTCTCATAGTTCCCGAAGCATTTAAAACGTCGCAAAAAATCTCCAATCAGTCTACATTTTATATATCGAAACTTGTTCGGTCACATAGCTTGATTAGAATTATCGATTCCAATAAAAGAGAGTTTCTGCGATAAAGCGAGATAAGTCAGCGAAATTTTTCTCGATTTAAGAACGCATAATAATTCAACCGATCAGAAGTAATTGCTATCTGGGACACGTCGGCTTAGAACTATCAGAAATTCCAACGAATGCGGCAGTATTCGCAAATGCTCTTATTAAATCTACACTGGAGAAAATATCTTCTTAATCTGAATAATTGTCTCATATCTTTCCATGGATCCATTTATTAGACACTAATATTGCATTTCGAAGTTTCTTTTTTATTCTGATCAAATTACTTAAAATAATTGTTGGTTGTGTTATTGAGAAAAAATATTAATAAGCATTCTTTTACAAATTTATCATTAATATACATATATGTAAAAATTTGTATATTAATGATATATTTATATATTAATGATTAATTTGTAATATATATATGTATAATGTACTATTTTGCACACTTGATAGCATCCATTTTCGCAAGCGTTCAATAAATTATTTTTCTTTTCTCTCACTCCCTTACTTCCTTTACGACGGCTTTTATCGTCATTCAGTGCCCCTGTAAGTAATGAATTTCTTCCAAGTTGCACAACCTTTTCGCCGCTCACTCTTCTTTCTTCTCTAGCGCACGTCGATAAACCCATCTCGTGGTTTTCTTCACACCGTTGATTACTCCCTCGAATCGATTTTCTATTGTGTATTGCATATCAATTTATTTTTAAAAAATTCTATATGATATCTAATATATTACGTTAATTCAAATTCGTATTAGTAAATGGTAGCGGACAATGAGCAATGAACACTTTGTTTTTGTAAAAATTGATTAAAATTTTTGTCAATCTTTATTTACCGAATATAAAATTATTCACTTTATTTGCAATTGTTTGAATAATGTGAAAAAATGGACTATTTATTTATTTATAAACTCATTTATGGAATTTAGAGAAACAGTCAATATTTTATATATTACTTATAGTATATTTATTGTAATTTTATATTTTTAATGGTCCTTTAATATTTTATTTGGAATATTATTTATAACATTGTCAATATTTACAATTTTACGAATCTAAAACTTGAAACATCAAGTGGCACCGGCACATGGAAGAACTCGTTGGGAAGCGGGTTAGTAAAGCATTAATCGAGCGGATTAACTCCACTAAGAGGGGGATTAAGAAAGTTACTTCCAGTAGCGAAAGAACTTAAAGCCACTATCTGCTGCTAAGCAGTTTACGGAAGAACAATCCGACGACGTCGTCAAACGCTTCCTTCTTCGCATGGCGCGCGCAATTCGTTTCTTTTTTTCTTTTTTTCTCGCTTTTTTCTTCTTTCGAAGATGTTTCGCTTTTAGAACAAAGAATTCCAAGAGGAGATCAGCCGCATTGTGTGCTTTTTCACCAACTCTCACGTAATTTTCTGAAGCTTTCGGCAGATGCTATCTTCTTCAGGCACCTTTCTTTGGTACACATATTTATCACTAAACTTTTTTTTTATAATAAATTTATATTTTTTTAATTTTATTTTTTTTACACAATATTAAATTTGGAAAAGATTTAAATAAATCATATAGCGCGCGTAAAACATACACACACACATACACACAGTCTCTTATCTATTTAAAGTTTAAAAATTATAATTAATTATATTGTAGGTAAAATTTCTCAATTTCTCCACAGTGAATGTAACGGTATATATTTTACCAGACAGATAAAATAAATTGGTATGCATTGCTTGGATAAGCCTCTTGCTGAGGCAATAAACCGAATTTTGTTTGGTTCACTTAGCTTGCCTTTGTCACAACGGTTATCTCGATTTACTGCGGCTGACACTGTAACGTCGAACTTGTCGAAAAACTTTGGAACTCGCTTGATCGTGACATGAAGCGCAAACGACGAGAGCTAAAGCAGGAGAACATCAAGTTAACTGACGATCATCTAAGACACTTGGACCACCGTTGGGATAACTTTGCCGTGTAATGTCTAAGCACATTTCAGCCATACAATATATATAATATTTGAGGCTGCTGGATAATTTAAGATATAGTTTCGAAGCTGTCATCATGTGTACAGGATGTGCTCTGATGTTTTTCTGGCGAGACATTAATAATTGCATTCATGTATTCATCATCGCAAATTAAAAATTTTTCTTAATTGAATACATTAAAATGTAAATGGGTGACAAAATCGTGTCTTTAAATATTATCTCGGCTGTAATTAAGTAGAAATTTTATTTTCGATTAATCGCTGAGAGAGTTGGAAAACGTTCGATAAATCGTAGCAGTTACAAAGCGAAGTTACAATTGGACAACTGTTGTTTGCGATTTATTAAATTTGCATCTATCACGGCTGTACTGACCAAGAGCATTTCCTCTTGCTCTCAAAGCAGCTCAGAAACCATTTAACATAATTTCCAAAGGGAGAAGGATTTCAAAGTGATTGACAAATCACATGGACAGGCATCTGCAAGCCGCTTATGGCAACGATTAGGTCTATTCTCTCGCGAGCGCATAAAGTGGGATTCGTCGAAGTACATGCGCGCCATTCCTCTGGTATCGCGATCCATTTATCTCTAGTTTCGCGATATTACGAATCGGCGAATCGATTTGGAATGATAATGCGGCGTTCACGCACGTGTTCGTGGATGATGCGTTGGTAATGGTGGTGGTGGTTTAGCGAAGGGTAGAAGGCAACGGATCCACGAGATTGTCAGCCATTCCAGACTCCGGGGATTAACTCGCCCTGGAGTGCATTTCTACCTCCCCCTCCCCCCTTCTCTCTCTCTCTCTCCTTTCTTCTCGCTCTCTCTCTCTCTCTCTCTTCCTCTCTGTTCCATTTGATGCCTTCTCGCTTCTTGATAGTCCTTCGTCTTCTACAGCTCCGGTACCCCTTCGTCTCTGTCTCTCTTGAATACCCCCTTCGAAGTGGGGGGGGGGGAAGCACTCGCAGTCATTTTCCCCATTTTGCGATTCGATTTCCGCCGATATTGCTGCCGTCTCGCTAGATTCTTCTATTCGGTTGGATGAAGACGCCGCCGCCGAGGGAGATATATTCGCTCGCGATAGGAAGACAGAAAGAGACGAAAGGGAATCGGCGGAATCGAGACGGAAAATTGGTACGCTTGGTATGAGGAAGAGAGAGATGGTGCGCGTGACATAGGCGAGGAATGCGCGAATGCGAAGTCAAGCGGAGGAAGGGACGGACGAACGAACAGATAGACGTACGACGAAGCCATCGAGGCGACGTCGACTAATTTCATCGTCGACATTGCCTCCTCTTTTTGCAATAGACCTCGATCGCGCATCCGAGTTTCGCGATGCATGCATAACGCGAACAGTGCATGCATGCAGCATCTCCTGCAATCGTGGTGTAGATCGCTCGCTCTCCGATGCCA